CGCTAAGAAAGAACTAATGAGCTTTTGGAGAATGCTAAAGCTCTTAGATATTTACAGAAAGAGGTGAATCGGTACGGTAAACAGTCCATTTTGACTGCTCAGATAGAGAAGTTGAAGATCTTCCTTGTTGACCAGGAGAAATGTTGTAAGAAAGTTTTGGAAGATGAGGCTGAGGCGTGTTGTACATTAGAAAAGGATCGGAAATATTTTTAGCGGAGGAAAAATGATCATGTCAATGCTATGAAGGCTCTTGAGAAGGAGATGGTTGATGCTCGATAAAAATCTCAGGAATCCTTTCTATGCATAGTAGAGACCATGCCTCAATTGTTTTGTCACAACCTTACTATCATTGTCGACTAGTTGGACCCTTAAGCAGATGCTTCTGAGAAGGATACTAGAAGCGGTCTTGGACCTGAGGAGCTGGGGGCCGAAGTCTGAGTGTCATTTTGTTCTTTTTATTTTGATTTATTTACTCACTTAATATTTGGATGGTCCTTTGTGTCTCGTTTTGTAAATAATATTTTTAAATCATGTGTTGAAGTTATTATCGTTAGTGTGTTTGTAATTTTTTTTAATACTGCTCCTTATTTTTTTAATATTTTTGCTATAGAAAATAGTAAATGGTAGTTGCTTAAAATGTAAATGACCTTAAGTTTTATGCGGAGCCATGTATGGTCGTGAAAGTAGTAAATGATATTTTCTTAACATGTAAAAAACACACATGTTATGTCAAGGTAGAAGCGCATGGACGTGCTTGGGTTGTGCTTGCATGGAGGAAGCGTTGTTACATTTTGATGTGTCCGTATGTAGGATTGAAAGGAGTGAAATATGAGTCCGATTTTGATCATTTATGTTCCTAATTGCATCTATAAGTATTTTATTTCAGACTAGCTAGACGCGACTATGCCTTAATCATGTTTATATGGATAAGGTATAAGTCTGGTTAATCGTGGTAGTGTTTCAAATCATACTTATAAACGAGGAACATGAAACTAGCTAGATGCGGATATGTTTTAAACTAGGCTCTGCTTCATAGAGGATCTTACTCGGCCAAAGGTAATAGCTCAAATCGAGTTGGACGTCTCTAGGCTTTACCACACTCGCCCTCAGATTGGTTAGATTCATAGGGGGTGCGCCAGTTATGTGTGAAAATGTGTATTTCTTTTACAGAGGGTATTTGAATGTTAAATTTGGACATGAAAAATGTTCTTGATAGCCCTATAATTGGTTGCTATAGCCGAACAGACAAATTATCTTCGATAGCTCCCCTAGATTCTGAAGACGCATGAGGAGGTGTGGGGAATTGATTCTTGTATTCCTGCACTCAAGCATATTTGACAGCACCCCTGAATTTTGAAGACACACGAGGCACAATGGGAAATTTATTATTGTAGCCGGGCGCTCGAAGCTTTTCTGATATCACCCTTAAATTCTGAAGTGTGCAAAGTGTCGGGAGATTTTGATTGGTATAGTCGGCTACTCAAAGCGTATTTGACAGCACCCCTAAATTCTAAAGCGTGCAGAGTGTCAAGGGTTTTTAATTGTTGTGGTCAGGATTTCAAAGTGTATCCGATAACACCCCCGGATCCTTAAGACAAGCATCAAATGTAATGGTTTTCCCCTATTTGATGTAGCGTACATTCACATTTTTGTGGAACAAAAAGAGGACAAGGTAGAAAGTATAATAGCAAGAGCATAATAACAATGTATATATGTATTTCATTTCATTATTATTTGCTTAATTTACAAATACATTAAATTAATCTTACGGTCGAGCGCAATTGTATATCAGGCGTTTTCCCTCGGGTATGGTATTTGGGTGGCTTGTTGCTCAGTAGATCTGTAGGGTCGGGCCTTAACTGGTACGAGGTCCAGCCCCTGTTTTTCTCGTTTGGGTCTTCTTTCTGGGGTTTAAATGGCTCAAATTTCTTGGGCTCGAACCTACTCCTTCGATGTACTTGGGGTACTAATATTATCCGAGCCTAAAGGGATTCTGATTAGCAATTATCGAGGTCGGCGGCTTTTCTGATGTACTACTGGCCTTGTAGCCTGCAAAACCTCCAGGGTAGTTATTCCCCGACATGTTCCATTAGGCGCGAGCCACCCTTCTCCCTGGCTCGCATTCGACAACCCGTCTAATTTTTATTTGAGAACTGGGTCGGGGTGTTAGTAACTTCTCTAATAGATGGATAGTCGCGTGGCTCTTACTTACTTCGTCGCCCAAGCATTTGCCTGAACGCGTGATCCCTTTAGCTACCCCGCATCCAGGATGATCTTTCATCTCACAAATCCCATATCATTTTGCAATCATGGACCTTTGTTGGTTGTCTGGGACAAGGATCTGGTCATTACGATGATGAGACATTCGGCATGAGGTCTTTATGATTATGATATATTCGACTTTAGTCGGCGATAGCATTGTTGGTGATGCCCCATCTTCTTGAGGTGGTTTCTTCTACTCTTGTACGGGCTTGAGGTGGACTCTCATTTGGTTTTGACGACACCCAGCCGAAGATGCACCTAGCGAGGGTTGATTCATAACGTTGTTCGGCTAGGGGTAAAACAGATCCACCGTTCCCGAATTTGCAAACCTAAATCCGGATCTGAAGGTATCCACCAATTGGCTTTCACAAACATTTGAGGTTGATCCCTGGTCTTTGGAATGTCATAGTGTCAGATTCCTGTCTCTGAGTATTTTGTGACGTCACTTCGCTAGAGGCCGAAATCGACGCAATCTCATTATTGGATCAGAATTCGATGGATCCAAATGGCGCTAATTTGAGATCTTAGATCCTCGAAACTTCAATTTCTTTGCCAGAAACCTCTTCAAAATGTATATTTAAGGATCAAACATGCAATTGAGGAAATCGTAGAAATCAGAAATCGATTCCCACAGACGGCACCATTGTTCTTTTGCGGAATCAGAAATGGTGATGATTCCGAAAGCTACGATGAAACGAAGCTTGTGATGCACGAATCTGATGCGACATCATGGATCAAAGGTTGTGATCACGATGTTTCTTGAACAAGAGAGATCGATCATCATGTGATGTCGTTAATCAGTGTTGTTATCTCTGATATGGTGGACTCAGGTGATACCTGTACGGTTAGCACTCCAACCCCCAAGTAAGTTTAGGGTTTAAGATAGTCGAAGTGAAAGTGAATATTAGAGAGACTGTGTACTTGAGAACCTTTTACGAAGGTATTTATCATTGGGACTAAAGGAGTAGACTGGATAATTGGCCTCGTGGTGTTGGTCCTTTGGCTGATGTGGAGTAGTGGGTCTCGGGTCTTTGGTTTGCACGTAACATATTAAGTTTATGTCTCTAATAGGGTGTTTGTAGTGCTGTTTGGACGGGTTTTAACACTAAAAATCATCTGAACCTCAAAAGAAAAACGTGTTGTTAGGTTTGGTTTGGTTGGGTTTAAAAGTAAAGGCAAGCCAAACCAAACCAAACCTAATGTAGTTTTAGTTGGTTCAATTTTTTACATGATTTTTATTGAGGCATACATACACATAAAAAAAAAACATAATTTTGTGTTCAATCATTCATACATTATCAAATAACAACAAAACTCATACATAAAAAATAACTTTCTATTTAATATACAAAAATCATATTAGACAAAAGTGAAATAGAAAAGCAAAAAACAATAGTATAAACAATAAAAAAATATTATAATAAAGTGGAAACAACAAAGGAGATGAAAGCTTACCAAAGATGAAAAAGTGGAATTCAAGTCTTAAGACTTTAAGACTTAACTTAAAAATTATAAACAGAATTTAAATCTAAAGATTTAAGATTAATCTTATGAATTATTAACAAAATTCAAGTCAAAATTTAACTCAAAAAATTATTTGTATTTATCAAAATTCAAACAATTATCAATGAAATTTAGATTTTAGACATCAAAACTCAACTCAAAATTAATAACATAGGAATTTAAATTTAAAACTTTTTGAGAACTGCGTCACAAAATTCAAATATTTAATAATAGATCAATTCAAAGACAAAATTAATTTCTTTTTATAAAAAAATAAATAGATACAATTTAAAAATAATTGAATGAGATTGTAAGATAATTCTTATAACTTAATGGAGAGTGTAGTCCTCCCTAACTTAAGGAATTAATTTTGACATCTAAAAATCACTTTTGTTTTTTTCTAGAAACGGAACCAAAATAGTACTCTTAAAGACAAATTATTTTAACTTTTACTCAAAGTGTAACCAAAATCAATTTTTCCATTCAAAATCAAACACACTACAAGAAGCATTCGAATTTTTATTTATAATTTAAATTCTTTTCTCAATTTTCTTATATTTTTAGATTTTAATAAAAAAACAAAAAACTCATTAAATTTTTTATTCTTGTTCTTTTTAAATTGGAAAAAAAAATGGTGATACAATTTTAATTTCACTTATCTCACCAAATATATTAAAAATTTTAAAGTTATTATATAACATGGCAGCATAATATATTCTTATTAGATAATAATATAAAATATTATAGTTATAAAATGTTTTTACTTATATCACCAAGTCATACTAACAATTTTAAAATTATTATATGTCATAGCAGAATAATATATTCTTATTAATAATAATATAAAATATTATAATATAAAAATATTTTTATACTATTGGTTTGTATAACAATTAAACTCTTTTAAATTAATAAAAATTAAATAGTAAATCTTATTAAAGATTACAAACTCAATTGGCGTTATGGATAATTATTCTGCTTAAAAAACTTAATTGCAAAGGATATCCGTAGTTTCGGTGAAAAAGTAAAACGTAAGATAATTTAAAGAGGGAGTGACAAATTAACGGAATATCCAAATTTCAATTACGACTTTCGTCTAACTCAAAAGAATCTAAATTTGCTTCCATTTTGTTCACTAAAAACACTCTACATAAAAATAAAATAAAAAAATTCTCAAAAAAGAAATATCTACAAAATAAAAAATAACCATCAACTAATTTCTTCCGAAACTACCCCTACTCCGGAATCGAACTCAACAACGCCGCAAACTTCTCAACACCGGCACTACCGCTTCTTGTATTTCTTCCTCTTCTCGATCTCTGTACAGTACCACCGCCAGAAACGCTAGCCGGTGAAACACGCTTAGCGTCACACTCACCGGAGAACAGAATCTGTTTCCCGCCACAACCGCATTTATAGGAAGCGCCACTTTTCATGAGAGCGGAACTCGCTTTAACGGCCAATGCAGCCATCTCTTGAGCCTGCAACGGTTGCCTCAACCAACTCAACGGAAGAGCGAAATAAAGCTGTCCTAGTTGCAACACTTGGTTTTCATCGACGGCAGTGACAACATCGTCGAAATCCATTTCGTCGGAGTTACATATAAAACACGACGGATGCTCCTGTAAGAGGTAAGAAACCTTGACAGGATAAGAAAACTCTCGTAACCTTCCGTCTTGTAGAATAAGCTTCGCCGTTGCAACGCGAGTTGAATCGGAGGAGGTACAGTTCCCCATTGTGATATGACTCACTGAGTCCGGCGAGTTATGTACGAGTCGTGGAAATGTTGTTATTAGTTGAAGAAGAAAGGAACGTGATGACAGAATATATAGTAAGTAATTTCCACGTGGAATTTTGATTTAATTAATTAGAAGCTGCGGGAATGGCTTTCCAGGCTGTAAGTTGTTGTTGACAGGTTGTATTACTAGCTAGCGTTTAGTGTGCGAAACTGACCCTATTTTCGAGATTGGGTGTGTATTTACTGTTTTGCCATTCGGTTTGGACAAAGTGTTCAACTATGGTGAATCAATGTGTTAAAATTGGACTAGTGTTAGATCTTTGGATTCAGTTGAATTACAATAAATCATGTGATATTATTCATGTTTTTGAAGGTGATTTTATGAAAATCATGATGACAGCTCAATGTGACTTGCAATTTGTTTGAATTTGATAAAATTACCATGTGAATTTGTTAAATAATGGTTGGAAATCAAAGTATTAGTGAAGAATTTGAAAAAATTATTGGCATTACATTGGTAAGAAATAAGCATAACCATGAGAATTAGTGTTCGTTGAGATGAATTTTAAATTTCTATAGGAAGGATACTTCACTTTAGTACGTCTATATATAAAAGATTGATTTTTTGAGGTGTATACAATTTTGTAAAAAGTAAAGATATGTCTTCATCAATCATTACATATCTATTTTTCATTCAGTCGCATTGAATTGAGTTTCATTCGCATTGAGTTGAGTTTAAATTTGAGTGATATATTATTTTTAATACTCAAATGAACATTTTAATTAAATTTTCATGTTTTCTTGCTAATCAAGTTTCATAACAATTGGTTTTGTGTCATATAAACTCCAATCTGATGTGTTTTCTCCCAAACATGTAATTCAAAATTTAGCTGATAAATAAAGACATTCTTATTCATTTTTTTTTTTACTTTTATTTTTGAGTGACTTTTTTGCACCATTTACGATTAGTTTTTATATCATATACTACATATGATATTTATAACATATATAAGTGGTCTTTATACCATTAAAATGTGTAATTCTAAACTGATTATCAATTATATAATTAGTAATCATATAATATATACATTATACTATTTTATCTTAAAGGTATCTTAATAGAGTAGCTGCTATGCATGAATTTACACAATACTACAAAACATTTTAAAAGGGAGTTGCGATTTGATTTAGTAATTTCTTCTATCACAATATTTCAAAACTATAAAACAACAATAATTTTATGAAAAGGAATAAAAAAAATTCAACATGATCCTAAAAATTAATTTTTCTATTACAAGGAAAGAGTATAATTTAAATTGTTTAGAGATCCAGTTGTTATGATACTAGTATTATTTATAACTATTATTAAGTGAAACCATGAAATGTTGGAGGGCACAAGAAAACCACGTGAAGGATATCACTACCTAACCTTGCAGCGTATAGCTTGAATGAGGTAAGGGGGATCTTGTTGCGGTTTCTAAATTAAGAGTGGAAAGTAAATGTGAAGTTGAAAGTAATAAAGTGGGAAGGTAAAGTTTGTGAAATTGTAGAATTGGGAAGGACTATTTGACATCACGGATCAAAAATTGGCCCAATAAAGGTACTGTAATTCAATTTTAAAGATTTATATTACATGCTAGAAATCACATTTGCCCCAATTCTAAATTCAAAGGACAATCTCCTAGGGTCATTGTGGATTCTCCTTTTTCAGTAGCTTTTTAATATGGTACATACTTTTTATTATACTAGTAGTTTATTATAAAGAGTATTCTTAAAATATGAATAGTACTAATTCTATTTGATTTTTTTGGATTAAATTCTATTTGATTTTTAGTAGCACGCCAATGCAGATATGACAGTGGATGATTATCTTATCTAATGACTAATGAGTAGCAATAAGAAATAAAATTAAAGGGATCACTCTCTCTTTTCTTTTTTGTCGTTTACTTTTCTTCCAACACGTGAAAATCTCTCTTTCTCATGCCTTGTTCATGTGTATAATTGTATAGTTACTTTTAAATAATTGAAAGCATTCAGAATCATCCTTTTGTAATTAGTCATAATCATGACCATGATTAGAGGTACTAATTTTAGTGTTTATTCGGGCATTACTTGTTTTTAGTTTAAAAAAGTTTAAGGATTTGAATCTAAGGTCATCCTCGACTCACATTAAGTCTCAAATATTTTATAAACTATTTATTTTATTGTTTTTTTATTTTTTTTCTAACTAAAAGCATTTTGACATCAATAAAACTAATCATTTCAGCTAGTATTGTTTTTAGGGTATGCTGACCAATCTCTAACACTTGACTTCACATTCTTTTTCATGATTAAACTATAATAAAAAATTGTCATACACATATTTCACAGTTAAATAAAATCTCTTAAAAAACTCATAATTAAAATAAAATTAATGTCACTTTCTTATATAAAGTCTTTCAAAAATTTGAGACAACTCTCATCTCAAATACTCATATCCATTGTCCGTAACTCAAACATTAAATAAATTTTAAAAATAAAAAAATATGTATAAACAGATTATACCAAAACTCTTAATAAAACAAAAGCAAAATATAATGATACGAAAAAAAAAATAGTAATTTGAAAAATTTAACTTATCCCTTAAGAACTCTTCCTTTATAAAAGACTTTAATCCACCAAAGTATTTAAACAATAGAGTGATTGTAGTTTGTGAGATTATCCGCACAAGAGTTACTTTCTCTTGAAATATGAAAATATGCATGTTCAACCCTTGGATCTTGTGGAATAAAGTCTTGCAAGCAATGTTTTCTTATTCTTCTTCTTCTTTTGCCTTGATACCACCACTCTTGTTCCTTTTCTGTCTCAACTGCCCATACATTAATTACAATTTATAAATCTTCTTACACCACCTTAGATAGTGGATTGTTTTGTGTATCAGTCATGCAAATTCTTGCATTTTCAAAAGTATTAGGGACAAAGTCAGACGGGTTTCTGATGTTGATAGGTTGGTTACTCATCTTCCCCGTGTCTTTCCATGTTTCTAACAATCCTTGAATCCTTAGCGTTTGCTCAACTCTCTCATAGTCGGAATCGAGACTTAGAGATCTTTGCTTAGACATAACTTCTTGGTTCTCAGATGTGTTTATTATTGTCATATTTTCATCATGATCAACAATATGAATCAATTTTGGTTATCCTAGTTATGCATTTTGCTTCACCTCGTGATCCATATTCGAAATTTGTACGTAGGTTACATTTGCATTATCTTCTTCTGCATTGGTGTTCCCTGCATTATCTTCTTCAGTATAACCGTGCTCTATAAATTTAAACATCACATATGTATTGGACGTATTATATGAATTTGAATTATTTTTTTTTTCATTTTTTTCTCGTGAGTATCCGTTTATTCCACAAATTTAGTCGTTCCACTTTTACTTTGCATAATAGTAGGTGTTATGTAACAAATGTTATTCTTCTAAGAATTCCTTTATTAAGCAAATTTAGTCGTTCCACTTTTATTTTGTGTAATAATAGGTGTTGCATAACCATTTTCCATGTTGCTCTTCTGAGTATCTTTTTGCTCCACGATTATATATGGCACCATCCTCGTATGTCGCGCCTTAATAATAGCTTATTCTTCCTTGTGTGATGCCTGTTTTTTCTATATTTTGTTACAAACCTCGACTGAGTGATCAATGGTGAAACAATTGATACATAAATCTGGAAGCTTTGCATAAAAAACATTGACATAGAACGTAAACCCACCTCATTTCACCATTATCTCTAAGAAGATAATCTGTGTGAGATCTACATCCACCAAGACTCTCACATAATGATCGAAAAACTATTTCTGTGTTACTTCATCAATTATCAACGATGAAACAATTTATCCAATAATTTCAAACAGGGTTCGAGACCTCAAATATTCTTAAAGTAGGTTATAAAATTGCATCCATGATTGAACGTGCGTTTGTCTTTGGGTGTATGGATTGAAGTTCGGTTCTCACTTCGATAACTTAAGCAAACTCAGTTTAAATTGTACGAATCTACGTACCAAGTATTTATTTTTCCTTGTGTAAATCCAAAATTAAACTCATAAAAACTGATCTGACCTGATCTGAAGGGGATCACGGGATGGCCACACGCTGTTGGACTGCTACCTGTTCACCGGTGATGAGGAGGAGAAAGGGGGTGTACCTGCAAGACACTCTGATGTCAAAGTAAGGATTTGGGCAGAGTGAGAGCAAAGTACAGAAAAGGCAAGATGTGAATTACCTGACCCTCTTGAGGAAGATGGTATTTATAGAGAGACCCTAGCGCTGAGCCAACGGTCACTTGAGTTGGGCTGGATGGTCAGACCCAACTCAGGTGACTGCTAGGACTTACATGGCATAGTGAAGACCAGGACGTGGTCTTCGCCCTAGTCCAACTGTCCCTAGATCTCCGGAAAGTGGGTTTGACCGGATCTTTCGGAGGTGGACAGTTGTTTGGTGATGTGTCCCCGCGGAGGGGAGCACGTGGAGAACGTGCGTATGGCACGTTGTTCTTCCCGCGGAGGGGAGTTCGGGAGGTTCCTCGGGGATGTGTGGTTCTCCCCGCGGAGGGGAGCACGCGAGGAAGTGGGAGAACCAAGGGTTCTTACCCGATGACACGGGGAGCATCGCCCGCGGAGGGCCCTCCGTTCGGCTAACAGGCTGGGGGCCGAGGATGCTTCGAGACGTGCCACTCCGCTTGGCGGAGGGCGTATCCTGCCCGTCCTAAGGGGGAGTGTGCCCGGTCAAGCTATTTCACCTATTGGGCCTTGTGCGTTATTGGGCTGGACCGCGAGGCTGGACCCAGACCAGAACAAAAACCATTGTCAAGCGGTACGAGTCTCCACGATGCACGACCTTTTCAAATTACCATTATTTTTTTATCAAGTCTCTTGCTGTGAGAGGAGTATCCCTTTTTTCCTATAATTAAACTACCATTAATATGTCTTTTACATTCTTCCATTTCCTTATAGTATTTCTTATG